CATGTCTCCTACCCAGTGCCTACAGGTGGAAAGCTCCCTCTCCCCCTGTAAATGGTGTTGCTGCTCGTAGGGTGATGTGGGACCAGGCTGAGGGCTTTGAATAATATGCTGTTAGTGACAGGCGGTCAGGGGGGAACAGTGTAGCAACCTGGCAGTACCACCTTCACACACTCCCTTCTTGGCTCAGACACCAGCAAGTCCAATCCACTCAGCTCTCCACTCATGGGGAGTCAAGAATGGAACGCCCTCCTGCAGGCTTGGGCACTGGGAGGAGAAGGTTCTTGGGCACTGATTGAGGCCATTGTTTGCCTTACTTGGGACATTCAGGGCTTCGCTTTATGCTCAGTGTACAGCATCACCAGGCACAAAAAGAGAACTTGCCCCCCATCCCACTGCCCTCCTCCTGTCTGGCTTCAACACCCTGAAGTGCTCTGATGGGAAGGACTCTGAGTTCTCCCAGCCCCTCTGCTCCACAGAGTGGCCAGCTCCTGATGCGGACACTGTTGACCACAAAGGGCTCAGAGCAGCTGAGTGACTGTCTAGTGGCGCTCTGAAGGGGAGGAGGCCTGGCCTCCTTGTCCCCTTCCCTGGAGGGCCTGCAATCAGTGGTGCCTACGATGAACCTCTCTGGACCATCTGCATCACAGGCAGACTTTTGCCCTCCCTGTAAAGAATCAGAAAGGGAATAAGTTTCCATGAGTCCTTCCTCTCCAGCCAGGCTTCTGAGGGGACTTGGAGCCCAGGCCAGGGGTGACAGCTTGAGGCGAAGAAGTCTTGCGTCTCACAATACCTGATCATGGCCTTTTATTCCAGCAGCTGCTCTGACAGTTCCCCTCCAATTCCTCTGCTGGCTGGGAAATTCTGTCGTCATGCCATTGTCACTCATGTTTCCCGTTTCCTCCCTTCTCCCTGGGAGGCAGAGGCACCCCCCTTACTCAGAGTCCTCACAGGATAGATGGCCAGCCTGCAGAACCATCCAAGGGGTCCTTTATAAACTGTTTCCATTTCCTTGAATGAAAGAGAAATCCCCAGATCCCAGCAGATCGGCAAGGGCTGCTGGGAAGGTAATAACTCAGTTTCACTGAACTCGTTGGATTATTTCAGTCAAATAACATCTAGTGAGCAGTTTCTTTTTGCCAGGACAGAATAGATGTGAGCCCTACCCTCGAGGAGTTCTGATCCAATGTGGGAAATGGGAGGTAGACACTCAGAATGGCAGGCATAGGTCCACTGAGAGTCCGTGAGGCCAGATGTTTTTAGAATCCAGAAGTTTCTATGTATTGGAAAAGTCATGTTGTGCCTGTGCCACACATTACATGACCTCTCCAGTGGGGTTCGGGGCAGTACCCCATACTCAAACAAATGCATGCTTATATTCAAACATTCACACACTCTAAATAGCTTCACATCTGTCTTTGTAGATCAGATTTTGCCACCAAATGAGTTTAATGAAAATCATCCAGTTTCAGAGCCTTTTGGATTTGGGTGTTGGGAATAAGGGATTGTGGCCTTCTATAAGAATTTATTTTTAGGAGAAAATTCTCTGTTGAGACCCAATATAATGAACTAGCTTGGGGCAGAAACTGGCCAGGAATTCAGATTTAGATTTTACTTGCTCATCAAAAGAAAATTTTTATAATGACATTTTATTTTTTTATAATGGCATGTTATAAAAGGAATACATGCTCATTATATAAAGTAAAGAAAAATAGGGAAGAGAATCATTGTGTTCCATTGGTCACGTCCCAGTTAAGCACTATTAACCAGTGAAGGCTGAGTGATGCAGTTCTAGGGAGCTCACCTTGAATCCTGCTCTACCCTTTCACTTTTCTGTCCCATTTTCTCATTAGTGAAATGAAGGTGACAGTAATAGGACGTAGCTCATCAGGTTGTTTTGAGAAATAAGTCAATTCATAGAAGTGCTTACAATGGGCCATAATTAGCACTGAAAAAATGGAGGCTTTCGTCACATCTTCTTCCAATCATTTCTCAGTGCATTAGTATATTCTGTACTTGCTTAGCTGTAGCCTTCACATAGATATACATATAATTTTATGCTCTGCTTTTTCTCTTAATTTATTACATAAATATTTAAGTACTATTATAAACTGTTTAAAAGCATTTTAAATGCCTAAATAATATCCCATTTGTGTCTGTGACCCAAACTTTAGATAACTGTTCCCTTATGACTAGGCATTTAGTTTATTTCTAGTTTCCCATGGAGGAGTTGGACAGGCCTCAGTGTTGCACAGGTTCAACAGCTATGGGCTGAGCACAGAACTCTGAACCGGGCCCTGCTCTAGGTATACAGGATGCAGAGGTAAACATGACAAGTGTTCTGCCCACCAGGAGCACACAGATTTATGTTTTAGGATTATAATGTGTTCCACAGTTTTGAGAACAGATTGGAAGTGAAGAATCCTAGAGACAGAGAGACCTGTTAGGAGGCCGGTTGTAAAAGGGGCTGACCTGTAAAAATGACAGTGGGAGTGGGAAGGAAGGTGAGAAGGTCAGATGGCCAAAACCTGGCCCCTGATTGGTGTAATAAGTGAATAGATTCACTGAGCAAAGGCCATGAAGAGTCAAGGGTGACCGAGGCTTTAAGCTTGAGGAGCTAAGGGGAGTGAAGGGCAGTGGAAGCACCTGGGCTTTGGTGCCAGATGGATCTCCAAGTTCAAGCCCAGCTCTACCATATTACCTATGTGATCTTGAACAAGTTACTGAAATTTTGTAAGCCTCAGTTTTTCCATCTGTAAAGTGGGGATAACAATGAATCCTCTTCCTAAAAGTATGAAGATCAAATCAGATGATGTATGGGAAGTACATAGCAAATATTATGCAGTGGGCATAAAAAGAGCTGCGTAGCATGTCAGTACCATTCTAAGCACTTTGTATGTACTAACTCATTTTAATTCTCACAGCAAGCCTATGAGAGAGGAGCTGCTAGTATTTCAGTTCTAGAGAAAAGGAAGTAGGCCCAGAGAGGTTCAGCAACTTGCTCAAGGTCTCACAGCTTGTTAGTGACAGAGGAAAGACTCAAACCCAGACAGTCTTGCCTCAGAGTTCATGCTCTTAATGACTGTGCTTTCCGCCTCTCTGCCCTAACATACTGAGTGACATCCCTCTGGTGACATCCAGCAGGCAGTTGGAACTTGATTTTGTAACCCAGGACACAGGTCAGAGTGCAGGATCACTGGGCAGAGATAAGAGTGGAGGCTATAGGCAAGGATGAGATTGCCCAGGGAGAGTGAAACCTGGAAAAACTCTGAATTTAGCAGGTGGCAGAAGGGAAAAGAGCCAGTAAAGAAAGTGGAAAAGGGTGATCAGAGAAGTGGGTGAGAGTGAGGACTGAAGGTGTTATAAATTTATGAAGCACAGTGCAGTCGGCAGCATCAAGTGCTACAAATGAGTAGGGTGAGAACCGACAAAAGATCATTGGTGACCTTGGAAAAGTAGATTTAGTAGAATGAGATGGGACAGGGACTTCAGCTGTAGGGTCATGAAGAGATGGGTGAAGTGGCTGCAAGGAGTAGGGCAGACAAAACAGGTGGCTGTGGGAGGGTAGAACGAACACTGGGTGGGTTCAACAGGCTTGAACCCCAATGCCAGCTCTGACCTTTAGGGGAGTCACTGAGCATCTCTAGGATGCTGTTTCCTAACTGGTAAGGAACTAAGACCCACTCTGAGGCTGCTGTAGGGACTTGATGGCTGATGAACATCGAGTATCCAGCAGGCGTAAGAATTGGGTTGACTGAGATCACATGAGATCACTTACATGGAAATAGCTTGAACTTTGCAGCCCATTCGTCAAAGGCCATGGCCCTGGGGATGATTCAGACACAGTGCGGACGGGTCCCCCTCAGGCACCACTGTCCCCAGCCTCTTGGCTGAGATCTGTAATGTTGCAGGATCCCTGCCTGAGCCGCACGCTGAAAGAAAACCTTGCAGATCTATCTTTCATATGGTGAACTGCAGTGCTGAGATTTGAACCCTGGTGCTCCACCTCAGCACCTGCGCCCCATTTAAGGCCATCTCTTGGCTGTGTGGCCATCCCTTGGCTGTGTGGCCAATGGTTAGGACTATACCCTAAGAGGAAGAGATCCAGGTTGCAGGTGTGGCTTTACAGCTGATGCAGCAAGAACAGCCTTGCACTTCTCCCTCGATCTCAGTGTCTTGCTTGGGAAATGGCTCTGCCTGGCATGGATGTGAGTCAGAGGGAAATGTACCCAGGCTAAAGCTGTGAGTCTTAAGGGGAAGGACGTATTGTAGCACCACAGGGAACCTCAGTGCATGTTCTGAGGGGTGGCTCCTTAGCTTATTCATACTGTGTGTCCTGAGAATTATCTCATGTTTTCTCTCTGTCTGTTTCCCCCTTTATCTTCCATCCTTCCATCCTCAGTCTATAGCATTTAAAATCTTAGGTTCTCTCCTCCTCCTTTGACTGCATGTCCCATCCATTCATTCATTCACTCAATGAATATGAACTGGACACCTGCTAGTGGTAGAAAACATTGCGATTGACACCAAGGAAATGAAATGTGGTGATTTGGAGATAATATGGCTCAGCTCTTGCCCTTAAGGGGTTTGAAATCTGATGAGAGCAGAAAGATATCTAAACAACAACTCAAACTGCAGGACACGCTGAGGATGGGATCTGTAGGTTTTCACCATTAGCCTATGACCTTTGGTGGCAGCCAGACAATGTACACACTCTGTTGGTTGTGGCCATATGTTGTCATCACCTGGGTCATTTCCTCATTTAATACCATCCATAAACTCCAATAAAACTGTCCTGGAGCTCAGTAGTCCAGGGGAGGGGAGGCAGAGGTTTGGAAGTGTGCGAGGGGATGGAGAGAGGGGTGGGCGGAAGGTGAGGGACAGTGGATAAAGTTGGAGGGCTCAGAGGTTGAAGCCCAGGCAGGATGGCTGGCCCACACCCACCTGACCAGTGCCTTATTTCTTTCCTGCTCCTCATGCTCTTCCCCTGCTGCTGGCTTCAGTGTGTCAAATCCTCCCCAAGGGCGTGGTCGCTGTCCTGGGACCAGCCTCCAGCCCAGCCTCCAGTTCCATCATTAGCAACATCTGTGGGGAAAAGGAGGTGAGTGCTAGGCCCGACTGGGGGACAATCCACAGGCTGGCAGCCTGTGCCCAAAAATGCCACCAACTCTTAAGGGCTAGAAGAGCCCATTAGTGCCTAATTTGTGTCACTAATAACAAGAATGTAAATACAAATCAAAGAAGTGGTCCTTCGCTGGACACGAGCATTTTCCAGGTTGTTTGGATGGAGGGGACTCAGAGGAGAGGCTTCACAACAGGATTTTCAAGCTGAGCTCCTTTGAGTCTTATGGTCTTTTGGGGGAGGGGTGGGGCTTGGTGGAGGTGGGCAGAGGGGGAGGCTGGGGATAGCGGTGGTCTGGGGGAGGCCAAGAGGGCAGAGGTCTGAGCTCCTCATGACCAGATCTATGGTCATGTATTTAGATACTGGGATTCTGGGAAGAAGGCATTGCTACATTTGATTGGTAAAATAAAGTTTGAAAACCTCTGTTTTATAAGTTCTCTAGAAAGGAGATTTTATTTTGCTTTCTATCTCATTCACCCATTCAATGGATACTCATTCAGTCAGTAAATCCCTCTTCAGGTGCCTCCTCTAACTGGAATCTCTCTCCTTTCAAAGCGCTGAGTCCATTTCCTCCAGGCCTAGGTCCTTGGAGAGAAAGGTGGTAGGGCGAGTTCTGAGTAACAGCCTACTCCCTGTTTCATCAACTCTCTCCCTCCTTTGCCCCTAGAGAAAACAAACTAGGAAATTCAGCAATTCTGCCTATTGCTGGAATCTTTCCTAGTCCTTCCACGAATCAGTCAGGTCTTCCCCTTCAAGTGTTTCCCTAGGGGACAGTAGTTAAGTGACCATTCATCCTCTCTCTGCCCAGGGGCCTCTAGCCAGATCCTTCAGGACCAGATGGAGCTAGGTGGGGAGGGGTAGAGAGGAGGGACAGGGAAAGGAAGGATCACTTTCCCCTGTCCAAGGAACCTGGCGTCTCAGCCTTGGGAGAACCACAGGACACGCGCTGCAGAGCAGAAACCTCCTCAGCCAGCTGCCTCCGCAGTGGCAGTGGGGCCGCAGCAGGCCCCTGCCTACTCCAGGCCCTTTAGAGCTGACTCCCTTTGATGCCACCACTTCTATTACGATCAGGAGGCTGAGTGAGTCTCTGAGGCTTTGGGCAAAATGTTTATCTTCTCTATTTCATGAGCCCACTCAGAACTGTTACTCACATGTTAACGTGCCCTGTAGTCCTGGCTGCCATCCCCTGGTGGGTCTTGCTCTCCCAGGAGCTGCCCTGCAGGCTGACCCCGTGCACTTTCTGGCTCTAGGCCAAGTCCATGTGGCCCTCCCCAGCTCGTATCCTCTCAGATGTCCTGAAAGATGACTCTTGAGCCAGCGCAGGCCACAAAAGGAGCTTCTGTCCCACGCAGTTGCGTCCAGCATCGCACAGTCCTTGGCCCCAGGAAGTTGGACCTGAAGTTTAATTTACATTTTTCTTGTAATAGCTCAAATCTGTGGCAGGTTGTTGGCCCAGCGATTGTGATCATCACCAAATGAGATTGCCAGGACTTCAGCTCCCCGTTTTCTCTCTTCTGTTCTCGCCCTTTCTTCCCTTTACTCCTCTCTCTCTCCTCCCCATCATATTTCCCTCTATGCCCCATACAGCCCTTCCCCTTCCCCCAACCCCCACTCCAGAATGGCTTCCTCCTGGGCTCAGTGGGTATGTTATTGCTGCTAGCCCCTGGCAGCTGTTTGGCATTCAGACCTGAAGTGGAGACTCCTCCTTGCAACCACATTCCTCACCCTGCACCTTGATTGGTGCCTATGCTGTTGACCAGCCAGACAGGTTGCACTGCCCAGGGATTGGTCAGACAGTTACCCCTCCTTTGTCTGGTCCTGTTCCTTCCAGAGCCACTTTGCTCTCTGTTCAGATTATGCATTTCTTTTAATATTTTATGAGGCAGAACTGCCTTATGTTGAATCCCCTCAGCTCCAGGGAAAAGAAATGGAGTTCTCGCCAAGGAGTCCATTTCTTCAAATGCTGCTAACATCTCCGCAGCTCTGCGACAGCTCTCTGTCTCGCCGCCCTCCCTCCTCCCTCCATTCTGCTCACCTCTCCTTAGCCCTCACATCTCCACAAGGACTTCCTGGGACTCATTTGCAATTGCAAATAGATAATGGATGCTCTTGGTCCTAGAGAGAATATCAGTAGGCCGGGCCTGGGCCATCTCTGTCTGGCTCATTAGAGTAGCCAGAAGCTTCCCCAGCAGCCTTCAGAAGGGCAGAACATGCTGACACTTCCCGCCAGCTTTGCTCCTGGGGAAGCCCCTCAGCCTCACCTCCTGCACATACAGCCCCACGAGTGTTTTCTCGAGCTCCTCATTTTGGGAGAAAGGGGAAAGAGAAGGAGAAAAGGCATTGCTGCATGTTGGTACTGAGCCATTCATCCTTCACACACAGGGTCTCATTCTACCCTCCTAAAGCTTCAAAAAGCACCTACTGTCATCTCCATTTGATGAAGCCAGCTAGGCTAAGCAGTTTGCCCCAAATCACACAGAACCTGGATGCAAACCAGATCTTTAGAGTCTAAAACCACTTGTCCTTCACTTTCCTGAGTCCATGGATTTAAGGGTATTTCTAAGGATACAATTAGTGGAAGGTGAGTTTCCTGCTAATGGAACCCTGTAGGCTGGGTGTCCATATAGTGAGGGCCTTGGCCAGAGATGCTCAAATGTGTATGCCAGCCAGCCTGGCTCCCAGCCCTGCCCAGCCTTTGTCTCCATCCTGCCCCTTTGTGACCATTTATCCTTACAGGGTTCGTTCATTTTAGACAAACCACATGGGATGCAAAATACAGGCTGGGAAGAAATATTCTTCATGACACAACTTCGCATTTTCGAGTCTTGTCTCATAACTCACTGCTCTCCCAAGTCTACGCTTCTCAGTCTCTGCTGGAAATATTGGCTGCCCTCTCTCTATGGTTCAAGGGCTGATCCTAGTTGAATTCAGAGAGTTTCTCCCTAGTTTCTGCTAAATCTTTACTCTCCACTCAGCCAGCCTCAGAGGAGATGTGGTCTCTGATGGACTTTCCTCAGAAGCTTAGAGTGGTGAGGGAGCCGATTCCTGCAGAGGCCATCTCAATACCATCTCCAGCCAGCCCACACAGAGGTCACTGCTGCAGGCATTTTTGAATAACCCATTCCAGGAGCCAATGAACTCGCCATCGGGAAGTTCTTCCTGCTATTTACCCTCAGTCTTATTGCTCTAATATCAGTCTAAACCCATGCTTTCTGTAATTCGGCCCTCGCACAGGGCACTGGTCCTCAGTTACAATGAGCGTTGAGGGTGCAGGCCCACTGCACATAGAGGCACCAAGCAGCCTCCAGCCCTCCTAGCTCTGGGGACCAAGGATGAGGGAGGCACAACAAAATCAAGGCGGATGGCAGCTTATTACATTTTAACTTTCCTGTTACCTACCCAGTAGCCTGAGCTTCCGACAAAGCAGCCATCACAGCCTGTTAATATCTCTTCCCAGGAGAAACGAAGCAGAAGTCAGGGGCAGTGCCTCTTGAAAATGCAGAGGGAAGCTGACACTGTCCTGGTGAAGTCAAAGCAGGTGTTTACTTACCTGGCTCCATTCAGAGGCTCTCTAGACTGTTTCTCAGCCCGCGACGCTTCCTTCTCCATATGCATGTTCAAGGAGGAGCCCACCCAGGCTTTCCCCTGGAAGGTGTTGGGAGCTGGCTGGTACACCTGTTGGGGAGGCCGGGCTGATGTCCTCTTCTCTTGGTCCCCAGGGCAGTGTTTTTCTCTCTCTGTCATCTCTGTTCTGGTTTATTAACTACAAATAAAGCATTATAAAGATTATGCCTTCAAGAGCCACTTGTCTAGCTGCTCAACTGCAGGCAGTTTCTCTGAGAAACTATTCTTTTACCTCCTCGGGGCCACAGACCCCAGTTCCAAGGTCCACAGTACATTTACACAGGCCTCCTTCTGAAGGGTTTCCCATCCTGGGCCTTCCCATCTTAATTGTTGTCTGAGATGCCATCCTGTGGATGCCCTGTGTTCTGCAAGCTGTTTCCCACCAGTGTGTGGCAAAGGTCTTACATAAAAAAGTTCTCCCTCCACAGCCTATCTAACTTCTTGCTTTCTTTCTTTCTCACTCTTTCTGGATTCTCCCTGCTGCTCCTTTTTGCGCCTCCTCCCAGGTCCCTCATTTCCAAGTGGCCCCAGAAGAGTTTATCAAGTTCCAGTTCCAGAGATTCACCACCCTGAACCTCCACCCCAGCAACACCGACATCAGTGTGGCTGTAGCTGGGATCCTGAACTTCTTCAACTGCACCACTGCCTGCCTCATCTGTGCCAAAGCAGAATGTAAGTGTCCCCAGGCTGGCTCCACCCAGACAGTTAATTTCAACCTGATTGATTTGCTCCTGGCTGGAGATGCACAAAGAAGGGAGGTAACTAGGGGGTTCTGGCATACCCATCCATGTGTGCTTGGCTGTCTGTCCGTGTGTGTGTGTATGCATGTGGGGGTGGGGGTGGGGACAGCAGTCTGTTTGACAGAATTTCCTAGGCACAGGCAGAACAGAGAGAACTGGGTTACAAGGAGACTGGCCAACCTCTAGGCCTTTTTGCATCTGCAAACTCAATTCCCACATTTTCAACCTCATTGTTAAGGAGCTACAAAAGAGAGGGAGGGGGAAAATATAAAACAATGCATTTGTACTTGATGTATTGAAGAGCGTCTTCTTCTGGAGAGCAGGTTTTCCTGATGGAACAAGGTCCGAGGTCAGTTCTGGATTAAGCACGTTTTTGCAAATGCGTGTTTTGGAAATGCATTTCTCTAACTCTGATGATTTGTAACATAAATTTAGTGATTATGAGGATGTAGCTAATTTAAGCAGCACTTTCCAGAAAATATGTGCATCTTTGTACACCCAGTGGCAGCTGCACACCCACATGCAGTTGGGCAGGTGCTGACCACTGGCTGTCATTGGGCCCAGCACCCAAACTCCAGGCATCTGTGTCCTGAGAGGAGCCCGTGCAGGTATCACCCTCTGAGTACAGGTGGGCTGCACTGGCAAGGCTGTGCCATTCCCCCAGGGCTTCTCTGAGTGACTGCTCAGAACTGCTTGGTATGCATATGTCTTCCTTCCATCTGGAATCCTGGCAGCATCTGCAGACATGCACCCTCTGCCAGGCCAGAGCCACCTTCCTCACCAGGCCATTGCTGCTGCCAACCTCCACGTGTGCATTCACTCACTTGTTCAACACAGACTGATGATCTCCTCTGTACTACAAGAGAAGCAAAAGTAACTGAGTTCCAACTGTGTGTGTTTCCCCCAGTCCACAGACTTTATTCAGGTTTCACCCACTGTCCTCTGCAGTGAGGATTCTTTAGGTCCAGGATCCAATCCAAGATCATGGTTGCATTTCAGTTGTCATTTCTCTTCAGCCTTCCTTCAACTGAATCAGTCTTTGTCTTGTCCTCTCAACTTTTCCATTTTGAAGAGTTAGGGCCAGTTATTTTGTAGAATGTTCCTTGATTTGGGTTTGTCATTAAATTCAGGTTATGCATGGGTGGCAGGAATGCCCCAAGAATGACGCTGTGTTCTCATTGACCCTGCCATGCAGCAGGAGACTGTGACTCGTTCCCATGTTGATGACGTTAACTTCAATCACCAAGCCTGGACATATCCTCAAGTTTCTCTACTGTAAAGCTACTACTTTCCCCTTTGTAATAAATACCTAACCTGTGGGGAGATTATCTAAAGTTATGTGAATACCCTGTTCCTTATAACACATTGATGGCCCTTGCCTGAATCAGATTACTATAATGATTGCCAGATAGTGATTTTCAAGCTTTACCATTCCTTCTGCATTTGTCAGTTAACATTTTACTGTAAGGGTCCTTCCTTTTCTCTGCTTATTTACTTCTGTCAGTATGGATCCATGGATCCTGATTTTATGCATTCCTGTCATTACTTATTTTGATGCTAAGTGTCCCAGATGTGGCCGTGGGAGCTGGTTAAGGTGGCCTCTGTGCCTGTTGTTCTGTGAACACATCCTCACTTCTGGCATGTGGGGTCCAGTCTCACTCTCCCAGCCCCAGTCCTGGACTCAGCCATTTGTTGTTTTTGTTGTTGTTGTTTAGGAGTAATAGAACCCTAGATCTGGAAGCTAGGTGTGATCACTGCCACTGAAGGGTTCATTGTGCAGCTCCTTTCAGAGGACAGGCTGCGGAAATAGCCATTTCTTATCATTCTTGCTGGTCACCAGTTTATATTTGTAGCTCCTTTATCTCATTGTGAGAAGCCTGGCTCCCAACAAAATAAATATATTTACTCCTTTGCTCAATTCTACAATATACGTAAACTTTTTTTAGAATGACTACACCCACACCACCGTTAATAAACCTACTAACCTATTAAGTCATTTAAGTTTCTTTGCAGTTCTTTCAGTCCTTTTATCTTCAGAATAAGGGAGTAAAAGTATTCTAGTTAAAAGTTACTTGGATTCTATCTTTTCCATTTTTCTTTAACATGGTTATCCATTTGGTATAGTGTTAAGTTTGTTTGTTTCTGTTTATTTCCATCTTTGAAGTAAAAAAATCCTTGTTGATTTAACTTCTGGCATTCTAATTATGATGTGTTTGGTGTGGCCTCTTTGGGTTCATCTTGTTTGGGAGTCTGTACTTTGTAGTCTTATGTGTCTTTTACTTTACCATATTGGGGAAGTTTTCACCATTATTTTTTGAAAAGGTTTTCTGTCCCTCTCTCTCTCTCCTTCTTCTGGGACCACTATGATGCAAATGTTGGTATGCTTGATGTTGTCCCAGAGGTCCCTTAAACTACACTTATTTTTTTTAATTCCTTTTTCTTTTTGCTGTTTTGATTGGGTGTTCTGCTACCTTGTCTTCCCAACCACTGATTAGACTCTTTGCTTCCTCTAATGTGCTGTTGATTCCATTTGATGTACTCTTCATTTCAGTTATTGCATTTTTTATTTCTGACTGGTTTTTTATGCATTCTATCTCCTTTTTTATGCTCTCTCTCTCTTTGTTGAGATCATTCAGCATCATAACAACCAATGTTTTGAACTGCTTACCTGATAGATTACTTGTCTTTGTTTCATTTAGTTCTTTTTCTGGAATTTTGTCCTGATTTTTGTTGGCACATATTTCCCTGTCTCTTCATTTTGGCTGCCTCTGTGTGTTTGTTTCTATGACTTAGGTGAAACAGCCATCTCTCCTGGTCTTGAAGGAGTGAACTTGTGTAGGAGATACTCCTTCGTAGACTGCATGTGCCCAGTGTCTTTGGAAGGCCAGCTGGAGCTGGAGCCTGCATGGGTACAGGGAGTCCCTGGGGTACAAGTCTTACTGAGGCCTGGAGCTATAAAGTTAGGGTGGGAAGGGCCAAGGGAAGTCCTGGGGGCAAGATCCACTGGGACCACCTTGGAGTTGTGCTCAGGCCTCCCATAGTTCCTGAGGCAAGCCACACCAGGACTGAAGCTGAAGCTAGAGGTGGTGTGAGCTATAGGGATTCCTGGAGGTAAGCCACTGTGGCTGTAGCCGAAGTAAGTGTGGTCTGCAGGAAATTCTGGGGGCAAACCAAACCTGGGCAGGAGCTATAGCTAGGGTGAATGTAACTTGAGGAGAGTCTGGGGGCAAGTCATGAGGCTGGAGGCTGGAGCTGGAGCTGGAGCTGGAGCAAGCTGTAGGGAGACCTGTTTCTCTGTGGCCTTGGCCTCTCTCTCTCTCTCTGTGTGTCTCTCTCTTTCTCTCCCCCTCTCTCATTTGTTGTGCAAAAGCTGTTCAGTCATCCCTCAGTTCTTCTTCAAGGGGAATTGCTCTGTCTGCAGGCATAAATTCTATGTGCTGCTGGGAGGAGGTGAGTTCTATGCTGCTATCTTGGACTGAAAGCCTATGTGTGCTTTTTATATAGCTTATTTATTATGACCCAGGGTTTGGAGGTATTAGAATTCCCTATTTTAAAGTTAAATAAAATTTAAAATTCAGTTCCTCAGTCTCACCAGCCACATTTCCAGTATTCAGTGGCCACATAGATAGAGCAGATATAGAACAGTTCCATCAAAAGTTCTGTTGAACAGCACTACTTTAGATGATCAGTGTTTTGTGAATAAAGAGTTTTGTAGCCCTCCCCCCAAACCCCAGAAATGTTGGATAACACCTTGTTCTATTCCCCGTTGAGAGAGCCCCAGCACACACTGGCATAGACATTGAAGAACTACTTTACCTCATCATCTTCCAAAGCAGTTTGACCTTGAGCCCAAAGGATGCTGAGCTGAAAGCCCATAGGACGTTAGTCTTTGATAGAATGAAGCTGAGAAACCTGCATTCTCCCAGATGGCCTCCTTGTGTGGGATCCTCACATACTGAATGGTGTAACAGAGTCAGGGATTCTCCCTTAGAAGTTTCTGCCACAAGCCCATTCAGGCAGGACCAAACTGGCGCACCCCATTCACACAGCAGGAATGCTTAGAGACAAAGGACAAGCTGTCAGTATCTCCAGGCAAAGATTCTCCTGCAGTTTTCCTTGGTGTTAGGCACAAAGTCTCACCAACCTCATAGGAATTTCTTTCTTGTGTCTAGCCGCAGTCCCTCTTGCTCTCAGTCTGCTAGGCCCTGGTAGCTGAGGCCTAAGCTGGAAACACACACCATGAAGTTAGGAGACTGACGGGAGTGCAGAGGCCATATTCTTCCCATGCCCATCTTTTCCATCAGATAAGGGGACAATCTCAATAGCCAAGAAAGGTACAGACTGCCCTATTGTGAGGGAGAAGCCTCAACATGCTCCCTCACCCCCTCTCTTTCTCCTCCTCTGGACCCCATGTTCTGGCCTTCCCTGCCTGTTCTTGGGGTTGAGCCTAAGCATGGGATGGGACAAAACTGAATGAAATATGTTGTTCAAGAATTTGAACTTATTCTGTGCCCCTTCCCAGCAACACATTGAAGCTTCATCTTGCTCTCTCATATGCTGTGTGAAACAGGCCTGAAAACCACACTCCCTGGGGCATGTGTACCTGGTAGGCAGGAGGGGGATGGAGACTTTCCAGATTTAAGGCACTGTGCAAGATGGCAAACTCACCGTCACCTCCCTAAACCCTCACCACAGGCCTCTGAGGTCAGTATTACGTCAGCTGCCTCCTCGGAACATTAACATTTGCAGAAGCAAAGCCTGCACCCAAAGGCATCAGTTGGAGGAGAGGAAGTGATGCCAGTTGAAATGGGTGCTTATTCTTATTTTTTGGGTCCTCTGTGTCCCCCGAAGGTCCTTCACGTAGGTATTCGTGTCCTTGTGCTATGGATCTGTCCAGCCCTGGCTGTGCCTTACGCCGCCTCCCCACCTTTCTCCTACCCGTGCGTCTCATGGCAGCCCTTCCCACAGTTCCTAAACCAGGCACCTCCCTCCTTCTGCTGCCCCTCATGTGGCACGGTGTTTGTTCCCCACTAGACAGTGCTGCTCCCTGGTCTGCTAGGGTGTAGGGTTACTTTCTCTGCCTCACAGTCTAGTTTCATCGGTCAGCAAGCACCCGGAGCTTTGCCTTACACTGGGGGGTGTGCAGAGAAGTTTGAATGGGACCCCTACCCAACATGGTGAAATAATTAGTGTATGGGTGTACATATTGTAATATGTATACATATATACTTATGTATACTTATGCTATGAAATATTTTACATGGTTTATTCAGCTGTGAACTCTGAAAGAAAAAAAAGGTACCTACTAAGAAGGGCTCAAATAAAAAAAATTTAAAAAGAGTAGAGCTCAGAACCCATTTCTGCACAGGGGCCTCTCATGCAAACTGCACTTCCCAGGAGAAGCTGCACTTCTTGCAGTCACTGTGTTCCTGCTGGCTGAGCCAGCCCTTAAGAAGGTTTCCTGGAGTCCTAGTTCAACCAGTAGGACCGAGGCTTTCCCCATCCAATTGGAGCTGGGCAGCTCTGACCAATCAGAGCAGCTCTATTCTGACCAATTAAAACAGTGCCTTTGGACCAATCAAACTGGAGGATTTAACATCCTCATTTGCATAAAGAGAGACCTATCAGGGATCAGGGGCAGGGACTTCTGTCTATATAAGCCAGCTCCCTTCTGCTTTCCTGAGTGCGCTTTCGTGGGAGACTGGAGGTTGCACGTGGGCCGGAGCTGAAACGTTGAAGCCATGGCCAGTGGTCTCCCTGGAGCAGAGCGCAGAGCAGACTGGCACAGACTGGGCTGGGGCGGGGCAGAGCAGAGCCACCTAGCTGAAGAAGGACGTGGTTGGGAAAGGCTCGCAGGGTAGCCTTACTGCTGCTGTAGTGCTGTACTGCCATTCAGCTTTTTGCACTAAATAAAGTTTTCCTCTTCATCACACCCCAAAATGGGGATTCCTGTTGGCGTAGGATTGGCAGCATTAGCCACTGGTTGACATAACCAAGGGTTGTATTTTGTGGATTGGGTACTAAGTTTTGTAAGAGTTGGGAAATGGCGTAAATAAAGGATGGTTAGGATATGAACATGTGGAGGAAGGAGATGAATGGAAACTAGATTTGTGCAGCACCTTGTAGGTGACACTGTTCTGCTTACTTGATCCTCTTAGTAACCCTGTAAGGGAGTTGTTGTGCTTATTTTCCATTGAGAACACTGAGGTGCAGAGGGTAGAGGAAATTACCCACACTAACCACCCGGCAGCACTGGGGCTGGGATTCACCACCACGCCTTGTGCTCTTTGTGCTGCTTGGCTGGGGTCCAGGCTGGAGAAAGGGTTAACCGACAGGAGATCATGGGTGGGGATGCAGGCCTCCCAGACTCACTGCCCTCTCGCAGTCTGTCCTTACCTTGTGTGTCAGCTGGATGAGATGGCAGATGGTGGGATGATGCAACTTCTTTGTTTAAAGTGCAGCAGAGCACCCTGAGGGGCAGCAGGCCGGGCATGCTGAGTGTTGGGTGGAGCAAGGTCCTCAGTTTATATGGCATCTGGGAGGCTCTTTTCCCTAGGAACTCAGAATACCAGCCAATTTTAAAGAGATGAAGTATCCCTGGGCTGCCTCCACCAGGTATCTCTGTGCTGAGCATAATCCTAGTGTCATCCCCGAGGCTTTCCTGTCTCATTCTACTGAACTTCATTGCTAAGACTGAAGGATCCCAGGGGATTTGGCCTCTCTCCCAACCACACTCCAAAGATTATCCCTGCTACATTCCAGAACCCATGGGATTCCCCCACTGCCACCCCTCTCTTACCCCTCTAGCTGCAGTGCTCCCTCCCCCATACATGCCCAAACAGATCTTTCCTTGAGCCAAGAAGATCACTGAGATTCCAGAAGCTCTCCCCTGTGGCTTCCTCAGGAAGGTTGGCTCCTGGTTATAGTGTTTCTTGGGTCAGGCTCAGACCTTCATGTAGGTGATATTGTGCTTTTTTCACTAACAATGAGGAAGATGTGAATATTATCTCCATTTGACATATAGGACAAAATGTGGCTGCCCCCTAGAAAACCCGGTTATTTAGAAAGAAAATAGGGACATGAGTTGGACTTTTCTATATACTCAGACTCTAAGCTCCTAGGGGCAGGGTCTGTATCCGATCCATCTGTTCTGGTGTTTTGTCGGCCCAGTGCGTGGCACTTAGGGTGCACATGGTGAGTACTGGTTGAACGGACTTTTACCTTCTGCCCTCTTCATTCTGCCTCACTAAGCTGCGCCTGCCCTTTGAGCTCTTGTGCAGATGAGTAAATTCAAGAAGTAACATCGATACTACATATTCCAGTTCCCATCATGCGCGCATAGGATCTCACTGAGTTCTGGCCTGTTATATCCATTTCAGAGATATAGATGGAGCCTCAAAGAGATTAGATGACTTCTCAAAGTCACAGAGCCAGTGAAGGCTGGCCTTGAGCTTGAATCCAGATCTTCTGCATCAGAGATTGGCAGGAAGTGCCCCAGCAACATCATTGCCGTTCCGATGGAGGCCAGTGGAGGGGGCCTGCAGGGGCGTAGACAGCAGTAGATCCTTACGAGTCCTCTGGGGAAGGAAGGAAAGGCCAACCCGTTCTGTGGCTTGCCCTCCCAAGGCTTACCCCTCACCCGCGATCCCTGCAGCCTCCAGCTTCCTGGAGTGCTTCTCAGGCCCTACGACTGGCCTGTGACCTTAGAGGCTGGCACCACCTTTCTAGAGCTCCTGTCCCCATCATGCCAGGCCCTTGGGCTCCACCCTGCTACTTTTTCCTTGATAAAAAAATAATAAGCACACCAGTGTAGGCTTTCCTGCCTAGATGGATGGAAAATGTCCCTGGGCCTCCCTGGGTTCTATGCCTGCTGCCTATTTGTGTTTTTTGTCCTAAGAAGCAGCCTGGTCTCATGGGAAGAGGGCTGGGTGGAGATGAGAAAGTGGGAATTCTGACCCCAGCTGTGTTCCTGTGTAACCAGGCCAGGCCTGTCACCTGTCTTACAGTTCCCTCTTTTTCTTAACCTTTGGATCCTCAAGAGTCAAGAGGATTAGTTACCTGAGCAGGGAGCACGTTCAGGACATTCCTGCATTTAATATCCCTTTAGCCAGTACAGAAACTGGAGCATGGGCCTTTGACTGGTTAGAAAGGCAGCCTTCCCTCTCTATTCAGTGTTAAAGCTCATGTTCGGGAGAGTCACTCATCTCCATACCTGATGTGCTCCTCTGTGCTGTGGAATTGTGATACTTTATTGCCTTGCTATGAGTACTTAAATGAGACGAACCAGGTAAAATGTTCAGCCTATTACCTGGAACATAATAAGGATTTAATAAATGTTACTTTTGAACTTGCTTTTAAGAGCAAATGCCTGTAGGTCTATTTCCATTGGACTTGGCCACTATATTCTCAGGAGACCCCCAGAAACCCTCTTTCTGGCCTCCCTTTTTAGAGACAAAGCAGACTTAAGTCCCTTTTGTATCACTGACATCCTTCAGGAACCTGTCCTTCCACCACAGCCCCTAGGCAGCAGGTGGCAGGGGAAGGTGTGGAGAGTCCTTAGTTCAGTCCATTTTCCTGTTTTGTTCTGGCCCATGTGATTACCTGCTGGAGTGCAGTTCAAAACCTGTTCTTTTATAATTATAATACTTTGTCTTAATGCAGCTACTGTGCTCTGAGAAGTTCTAGTTTTGCTAGATCTGTTTTCTGGGCCTTGTGACCTCCAGGGAACTGCTCCCTGATTTCTGCGATGCAAATGAAGGTTGCTGTAGGGCTAGATGTAACGTTTATGATGCTTTACAATGCGTGAGGCTTGGCCTTACATGTTTCATGCATTACCTCATTTAATCCTCGCTAGCCCTGCCAGCTGGCCGCTGTCACTATTCTCATTTCTTAGAGAAGACACTGAGACCAAGAGACCCGGCCACATGAAAAGGTCACACAGTGAGTAAGTGGTTAAATCTTGGTCTCTGACCCAGGTCTGCCCACTTGCAGTGCTGCCCCTGAACACTGAGAAAGGGTGGGGGCTATGTGTGCCTGCAGGGAGTGCATTCTCTACTCTAAAGGGGCATTCCCAAGGCTGTCAAGGGAAGCTGTGGACGCTTAGGAGCATCCTTTTTATTGAAACCCAAAAAGGTGAAGAAACTTGTTCAGATGAAGATGCACTTGCTGAGCATGAACAGTGGGGCTGCCCACGCCCTGCCTCCAGGCCAGGTCCTCGCTGCACTGCCTTTGCACCGAGGCCACCCATGGACCTCAGGGCCTCCATCCTCTCTTCCCCTCCAGGCCTTTTAAACCTGGAGAAGCTGCTCCGGCAATTCCTTATCTCCAAGGACGCACTCTCAGTCCGGATGCTGGATGATACCAGGGACCCCACCCCACTCCTCAAAGAGATCCGGGATGACAAGACAGCCACCATCATCATCCATGCCAACGCCTCCATGTCTCACACCATTCTCCTGAAGGTGGGAGCCGGGCTGGGTGGGTGCTGGTGGGCACGGAGCGCCCTTTTCCCCTCTCCCTCCCTCGGAGCTCGCACTCTGCTCCCTCCTTGCTGTGGGTGTCCTCCTGGGACATGGCTCAAGGAGCCCTGGACTGGACCTCTGAACCCTGGCAAGCCTCTGTGTGCTTCAGTTTTAGCAGATAGCTCATGAAAGCTGAAGGGAGAAAGCTGGGTGATTGTGACATCATAAAAACACATAACTGCTGGTACAGTAAGCAGCCATCAACTAAGACACTGGTCAAACCTAGACCCTGCCAGGGCTCTGAGGTGAAGTCCATGGGTTTCTAGGAGGTTCTAGGGTGGTGGGGGAGGGATATTTGCCAAGCGATATAGAAGTATTTCCATCTTTGGACACATGTGCCACCATGTGACTTCCCGGTGCAGTCCTCTCAGCAACTGCGTGAGGTAGGTGCAATATGCTCACTCCACAGATGAAGAAACTGAGACTACAGAGGAGTAACAGCTTGGTCCCAGGCCCAGCCCTGTGAGGAGCAGAGCAAGGCCTGCACCAGTTGTCTCCTGCCACACCCTCCAGAACACAGAGGGGCCTCACTCAGAACATACATGCAAGGAAGCTAGAATCTGTCTGACCAGTTCAAGAGAGACCAAAATAGACCCAGAGAGAGAAGTCAGCTGCCTGGGCATCCATGCTGGACAAACAGCTGGAAACACCTGGGCCGCCTTAGGGCCTCCTGGCACCAGTTCCCAGGCTGTTGGCTGGGCTTGCAACCCCAGCTAAAGTGGACTGGCTTCCAAGCTCCTCCATGACTCACAGCAGCTTCCCCAGCCTCTCCAGGCACATTGACCTCTTCTAATGCCATTTTAAAAGCAACCTGCTCATTTAAAAGCAACCTGCCATCTATCCCTGGGGGAGCGAGGCTCCTCGTTCACCTCTGACAAGCTCGGAGGAGCGGACAGACACTCGGATGCTTATTTCTCCCCCCTCCCTCTCTCCTAGCCTCCCCTCCCTGGCTAGTTTTTGTCTCAGAGTTAAGAGATTTGAAGAAGTTCTCTGAGTACTGAGGGTTATCCCTTCTGCCCATTGCTATAGTAATTTTTCACAGCTGCAGACCCATGTCCATCTGTGTGCATATACCTAATTCACACACACACAGACACACACACAGAATTTTTCTCTTTTCCCCCTTATGTCTGAAGCTAAGATCAATGAAGTCATCAGGACAGAAAAGCTCCTCTAAGTGTTAGGACTCAAGAAATGCAGACTGAGGAGTTCTCAGGAAAGGTGGGCAGTAGGGAGTGAGATAGGTGCCCCTAGCCCCTTACAGAGTGCATATCCCCTGCAGTAGCAGAGCCTGTATGAGCAGTCCCTGGGGGATGCCTTCAAGGGGCAGCACTTTCCCAGGAATAGCTCATGGTTTCCGGCACATACAATTGGTCTAGATCTCTCTCTCTCTTAAATAAATCTAGTTTATTGTTGAAATTTCGGAAAGTACAGAAAAGCACATAGAAGAAAATAAAACTTATTCACAATTTCATTACCCAGAGATTACCACTATTAAATTTATTTATTTAAATTTATCTTTATTCTTGAAAGTATTAAAGGTGCCCCTTTTTCCCCGATTGATCCCCTCCACACAGCATCCACCCCACCCCCTTCCCAGGCCTTCTCCACACTATTGTCTGTGTCCATAGGCCATGCATATATGCATCCAAGTTCTTTGATTAATCTCTACTCCCCCACTCCCCACCCTGCTTTCCCTCTGAGATTCGTCTGACTGCTCCGTGGTTCTGTCTCTGCATTATTAAGTTTCAGTGTCTCTTCTTTCGCCTCATAGACACATTTTCCCCCCAAATTATCACCTTGCACGTACTCTTCTGTGACCTGCTTTTTTTCACTTAATTATATGCATTTTCCCCATGTCATGACATATTTTCTATGAATATTTTAATGGCTGCATCATTTCCTATTGTGAGGTACCATAATTTATTTAATTGCTTTATTATTAGGTATACAGGTTATTTTTAATATTTTGCTATAATAGGTAATGCTAGAATGCACATCTTTATACATAAATTGCTATGCACATTCACGAATATTTCCTAGTACAGATTTCTAGAAGAGGAATTACTGAGGGAAAGGTATGCACATTTGAATGATTTTGATATGATTTGCCAGATTGCCTTTTAGAAAGTCCATAAAAATTTACACTCCTACCAGCCGTGTATGGGTGTCTTATAGCAAATACACTTGCCAATACTGGGTATTCTCATTAAAAATGTCTTTTATGCCTGTGCTTTTGCAAGAAACTTAGCCTGTAATGATCATTATTAGCTGATGGTTCTGCAGGGTGGCCAGTGGCAGACTTTCCTGAGATCACATATTGGCCTCAGTCCTTGTGACCTTGGAATCACACTGATCAATAATGACCAGCGAGGCACCCCAAAACCCTGTCCCCTTTATTCCCATTTGACTTCCTAGTGGCCCCGGCAGACAGGCCCTGCATCAAGTCTGGATCAGTCCTCCTGCTTCCCTGGGGCCCTATATGCCTCCTGCATGGAGATTAAAACCCAGACTTGAGGGACCTCAGGAAGGGTGGGCTCAGGGTCGGAGGCAGCTTGAGCAGACAGCACACGGAGTTCTGGGACACTCTGCTTGCACATGTGAGCTTGGCCTGGAGAGTCGCTGCACTCTGCTGTCCCTTGACTTCAGGAGGATTTGCAGTGTAATCCCTACTTTTATTGAGTGGCTGTTTTGGCAATGAACTTTAATATCTACACAGCATTCACATCCTAAAAACCAAGGGTCTCTTGTCTTTTATCAGGAGGACAGCAGATTTCACAAAATGGGTTTTAACCATCTAATGTTGCTCTCTCCCAAACTCCTGCCCCCAGCCCAGCCCTGTAACCAGGGGGCTTCCATCAGAGGGAGCAGCACTTCGTGTGGACAGCATGCATGTGGGAAGAGGGGATGGGGCAGATGTCCTGACGCATCACCCTCTCAGAAGAGGGGGAGCAAACTTAGCTTTGCTGGGGGAAGAGGGAGCCTCCTCTAGGAGACCTTGAGCTCCATGGTGACCCCCACATGGCCTTGCCCAGTCACTGAGGCCCTCTGCACTGCAATTCCCATTTGAGTGAGGTGATATCCTTACCCCAGCTTGTTCTTCAAGGAGACTGGAGTGCTCCTGTAAGAATGCCTACAAAGTTATTGGAGTTCCTTGGGAGATAAACAGAGGAAAGTGGGTTCATCCCTGGTTTGTTTCTCCCCCCTGCACCTCACTAGTCATGACAAAAATGGTTTCACAGTGGCCCAGAGCTGATGGATACATTATGAAAATCTAAGTGTCTGTCGGGAGCGATGAGGGCTCTGGGAAGCTGGGCTTATTTACTTGATCTGCTTGTTGGTTTCTGTAGCACATGTCACCTCAAAACTGGGTACACTAACAGGGGAGGCTGGTTAGGAGTGTTTATGAGGCTACAAGGATAAGACTGAAGGGAGGCGCTCTGAATTAGAGTCCTCACTTGCAAGATGAGGCACAGCACATGCAAATGGTTTCCTACCACTACTAAAGAACCAAAGTTTGCAAGTGATTCACTTGTCTCCTACGCGGCTGCTGATCGTGCATCTCACTCGCTCGCATTCGGCCGGGCGGGGTTAACTTGGGACTTGCCTGCAGCCAGCATATTGTCCGGGCTATGCCTGGGCTCCTGAGAGAACTGCTTCAGTGTTTCTATTAATACCACAGTCCTCTAGGAGTATGGGCTGCCCGCTTTAATTTCAGCTTTTCCATTTATGAGATGTGTGATCTTCGACAAATTATAGAGCCTTTTGGTGTTTCAGTTCCCTCAGCTGTCAAATGGGGGGTCGAGGTGGTACCTACCATATCAGTTAGTTGAAGTGAAATGCATTCCAGAGCCCGGCACACACTAAATGGTGGGCGTCAGCCTCTGTCACTGTTGACAGCTCTGGAGATAATCGTCATGGCCTGGTTGCTGTTTGCTCCCTTCTCCTTACAGTCATTTTCATATCCATGGGAAATGTGTTGTGCATGAGAACGCCGGCTGCTATGTGAGGCACTGTGAGGTAGGGAGCAGGGTGGAGGTGGGCAGACCCTGCTCTCGAAGCCAGTGATTTTGTGCTTCATCCTTCAAGGTCAAGGGCAAAATAAGAACAAATCGCAGTGTTCTACTCTGCCTAGAGCCGAGGCTAGTGAGCTAGACAAATGGCAGACATGTGGAGCCCTCACTGCTCATTCACTTCAAGTGGCTATTTCCTCTCTAATCTCCTTCTCTTCCTTTCGCAGGCGGCTGAGCTAGGGATGGTGTCAGCCTATTACACGTACATCTTCACTAATCTGGTAAGTCACTTTCACAGCTCACTTCCTCAGCATAGAGAATATCATTAGGGTCCGTGGGGTGTGACAGAGGAAGCCCAGGAGGTGAGGATGGGAAACACGCAGAGGCCAACAGGTAGGCAGGGTCCTGGAAACGGACACTCATGAGCTACCCAGTGAGTCTCCTCGGGAGGCCCAGCGACTGGCCGACAGCTCTGCCTTGTCAGACCACACGCTGACTCAGAAACCAGACTGAGGGCACAAGAAGCGCACGTGTCCTGTGGTGTCACAGCTGGATGCACCTTCAGAGGCTGCATCTGCCCAGACCTCCATTTTGCAGGTGAGAAAGGCGTCTGTAGAAATTGTATTGCATCAAGTTGGAGTATTAGCTTTGCCACCTGCCAACATGTGCCCTTCAGCAAGCGCTGAGCCTCGGTGTCCTTGTCTGTAAAGCAGGGATGAGAGTGGCTACATCATGCAGTTGCTGCATTTTAAAGGGATGTGATTTAATCTGTGTGGAAGCATTTTTAAATTGTAAATCAGTAAGAAATGGGAAAGGTTTTCATGAAGTATAAGCACTCAATCAGAGAGTAGAAATAACCTCGGAGAACAGGTTTTTAGATGAATTTTATAACTTTTTATTTTGAAATAAAAGATCCACAGGAAGTCACAAAGAAAATACAGAGAGGTACCATGTACCCTTCATTCAGTTTCCTCCATAATTACAATAATGTCAGAACCAGGATCTCAAAATAGCACATCTCTCAAAATTCTAGCTTTGTGTAACTCCTGCCACAAAATACAAAACGATTTCTTTGCCACAAAGATCTCCCTCTTGCTACTATTTTATACCCTCATTCACCACCTTAATCCCCACCATTCCTAACCTGTTCTCTATTTCTATAATTTTATAGCTTCAAGAATGTTATTTAATGCAATCGTACAGTTAACCTTTGAGATTAACTTTTGTCACCCCCAGAGTCACGCCCTGGAGAGTCATCCAGGCTGTTACATGAATCCAGTTGGTTCCTTATTGATGCTGAGTTGTACTTTTCCATGTGGATGTATCACAGTATGCTCAACCGTCCAGCTATTGAGAGACATTTTGGTTGTTTCCAGTTCCTGCCTTTTACAAATAGAGCTGTTATAAACAGTCATTCAGAGAAGTTTATTTTATTTTATAAATGCATGATATATTGAGATCACTTAAGTGGCCCTTTCATCCAGATGTGCTTTTGATGTAACAAGCATGGGGTCAAGAATTAAAATGGGAATAAGAAACTAATTTTGCCTCTGAAAACTCAAAGTACCTATTGTGCAAAGTGGTAAATTCTATTAGATATGTATACAAAGTGTTCTACACCCTAGAGCAAGGGCTACTTGATCAACTTGGGGCAGGCTTT